GTGTGTGTGTGTGTGTGTGTGTGTGTGTGTGTGTGTGTGTGTGTGTGGGCAGGCAGGCAGGAGAGCAGTCAGCCAGCTAGCCCAACCCTCGCCGTGTGCCTGTGCGCTAATGCAGTGTTAAAGTGGGCACATTACCACCAGAGGGAGCATAAGCATTCAAGTAGAAAACAAGATAGCCTGTGTCAAGAGAGCGAGAGCCACTCCCTCGGGCATATTGTAGACCAGACAAAATAACAAGACAGAAGATCAGATCGGGGTCCTATTACCACTGTAGGCATGCACCCCGAGCAGGCCCCCATTTCCACTGTTGAAGAAGACAATCCGCACAGCTGCTCAAACATTCCCTTTCATCATTTTTTGTTTCACTGATTGCAGCTTGTGCTCGTCTCCTGTAGCCATAATGTTTTCTGTGAGCTGCAGGAGATTCGAAGGTGTATTCTTATTTGCAGCTCAGCTACAACTTCCATCTTTTCTCCATTTGTTTACCAACATGGTTCCAAGCTCCACATTCCGCAGCGTTATTGAGCCCGACGGGGACCATCATTATCCTCTTATAGAAAGCCATGCTTTTTTTTTTTTTGTCTGCATTCGCAAACGTCTGTATATTATCTATAACTGAGATTTTTTTTTGTCCGTGTGGTGCGAAAAAGTCATGATTTTTAAAAGCAGCTCGCTGCAGTGCTTGTAATACTGGAGTGTGTGTGGGTGTGTTATGTATTTTCTCTTTTATCCTTTTTTTATTTATTTTTTTTCCTGCAGAACTTTTTTCAAATCATCAGCAACCTCTTGGAGGAGGAAAATAAGGAGAAATGGGAAGATGCACAAAAGGTAGGCATCTGTTGGTGCGCTAAATAATTCAGATTTCTGCCTGAATGTTGTTCATAAATGTTGCACTCTGCTCGTCTCCAACTGGAAATGAAAATAAAAAAAGGAAAAACAGAAGTGAAGAAAAGTCGGATCGGTTTCACCATAATGTCGCATTCATTGATATGATTGTGATGTCATTTAGCAGATGTGACATCTGGCCTCGTTTAGAAAAAAAAAAAAAACACTTCCTCAAGCCTCCACTTGGTGGCAGCAACACTGCCACAGAAAGTGTCCAAACATTACTGCAGACCCCACTCCTCCTGCATGCACATTGTTTTCACCGAGCCCGTTTAGATCAGGACGGTTTGTGTGATTGGATTGCTGTTCAAGTCAAATGTTACCACAACAGTTTACTTATTTTACTCCCTGTAGTGAAGCAGTTCATATGTGACCCATCACATTGAAACGAGGATTAAGTCTAAAACTGGGATATGGAGAAATAGGCAAATATAGTTGTTTTGATGAAAACGTTTGCAAGAATTGCATTTTGTCAAAACACAATGAATAAAAGCTGTATCATTTAAATGAACCAGCTGAAATACAATCATAAAACAAAATTTGCAAGCATTTTTTGAGCAGTAGCAACAAAAAACCTGATTTTGAGGAGAAATGCCTTAAAATTTTAAGATTTTCCCTGTGAGCTAGAAATGTTTTGTTTCTTTACAACTGGGAAATCTCAATATTCAAATATAAGCTGAGGTCCGTCTTTATAAGGACATCAACAATTCCTCATTAAAATTGCATAAAATTAAGATTCAGACCAAATATTTTTGTATTATTTTAACCAACAAGACAAATTAGGTCATATATATGGATTTACTTATGATTTCAGAATGATCCGGGTATCAAAATATAGAATTTAAAACCAGGAACCTGAAAATGTAATTAGGTCATTTGGACCAAATTTGACTTAATCCTCGTTTTGATATGATGGGTCACATATTGAAAACGTGGCTGCTTTGTGGCGACAACTTCAACGTCATTTAGGTGGTGAAACGTAGCAGCGTTGTGTTTTTTTTTTTATTTCTGGGATTTAAAAGCTCGACTTGTTTACCTGCTAAGGCTCGACCTGTGGCCAGGTGCCCCTCTTAGACGCGTCTATCGGCTTGAGAGGTGGCGAGTCTCGTTTTGAAAGCTGCCACCGGCGTCTGAACACAACCCTGAAAATGACACACATCCACTCTGACCGAGACGCCATCTGCGAGGACTGCCGGGGCACCTGCTCGGTTGTCACCTTCAGTGGGATTTTTTTTTTCCTTTCTTTCCGCTCAAATTGAGTGTCACCAGCTCTGACACAAGAAGAAGGTGTCGCCCCTTAAAAGAAGTCAGATTTCTCAGCTAAATCTGTGTTGAAACACATTCGACGTGAGCACTGCTTTAAAAAAAAAGGACTATTGTCTGTACAGGGAATAATTAGCTGTTTACTTACTGGAGCTTTAGTTTGGCAGCCCCCCAGTGGTGTTTAGTCTGTGAGACGAGCTCATAAACAAGCAGGTTTTTTTGGTAAGAATGCGTCAGAGATGGGGACAGATTTGCTGCTGATTGAGAACCCAGAACAGGGATGTGATAAAAGGCATCATTTCTTTCAGGTATTAACTTGTGCGTTTACCTACCACACTGTTTGCGTACGAGTCGAGCAGTGTCGGATGTTTTCGGCTTCACGGTTAAACTCGTTTCTCACTTGTCGGGCTCAGTCAAATTAACGAGCCTCGTCTCCTCAGCGCCCACACGCCGCGCGCTGCGGACATTCAGAAGCCTCACACGAATCGCCTCACGATGAGGTGTTTTTTTTTTTTTTTTTTTACTGGCTGTAAAGTTGGCTTTGTGCGGAGATCACTATATATTCACCTCCTGTCACTGTTACCATGGTGAGGAAAGAGAGAGCTCTGTCTGCGCTGCCTCCTCTGCAGCCGTTTCCCCGGCGCTGCCTTCACATCGCGGGGTTGCCATGGAGACGGGCCGAATGGGCATGACTGCGCTCTGCGTCAGACACGCCGGAAGGGGCGACGTGATGCCCCCCCCCCCCACACACACACACACACACACGACGGTGGCTTTGACTCTGCTGTGTCAGAGGCGCTTAACTTCAGCCTCGCTGATCAACTCGGCCGAATTAAAGGCAGCGCGCGTGGAGGCGTGTTGTATAAAGTACCACAAAGTGATACTTGAGTAAAAGTACAAGTACCTTACCAAAACATTACTTAGGTAAAAGTTAAAGTCTCCTTTAGGAATATTACTTGAGTAAAAGGCTTAAAGTATCTGATACTTTTTGTACTTAAGTATTAAAAGTAAAAGTATTGATTTAAAACGAGCAGTTAGATTTTCTGTAAGGACATTTATTAGGAGGT